AGAGGGGGTCGGTGGCGGGGGGGGCGTGGGGAGGGGGCAGAGAAAAGAACAAGGAGGGAAGGAAGGAAAAAAAGTAATGCTAGAATTTGCAAAAACAAATGACCCAATCTGGGCCTTGTCCCTGGAGGATGTCAGAGGCCAAGAATGCTGGTAAATATGCATTTGACTCCTTGCTGAAGGTGGTTTGAAAATTGTCCATGTTCTTTATTTTTCTTTGGTCTGGCTTTACAAGTTAGCTAATGATTAGATCCCAGAGCGACTTGTGCCTTGTGCTTGCCTGTTAATCAGGGGAAGATTTCAGCCTCTGCCTTGGACTGGCTCTTGAGAAGGCATCCAAGGTGCAGTTTCTGCCCTCTTTGAACTCTGATACGATAAATCTGCTGCTCTAAAAAAGCAGACTGCAACAAACAATGCTGAAAATATTTTTTTTTTCTTCTTCTCTGTGAAAATCTCTCAAATCCTGCTCTGTCTGTTCCTGCTGCTCACATCTGCACAAATTTGTTCTCCAAACTTGCAGGTCTGCTTTACAGATCCTCCATAAAGCCTGTGAAGTTGCAAGAAGGTACAACTACTTCCCAGGTGGCATGGCCTTGGTCTGGGCCACGTACTACGAAAGCTGCATCAGCTCCGACCAGAGCTGCATCAATGAATGGAATGCGATGCAGGACCTGGAGTCCACCCGCCCTGACTCTCCAGCCCTCTTTGTTGACAAGTCAGTTCTGAATTTTATTAGAAAAAGTTGGCTTGGCTCACGAGAGAAATCTCCCCTTCTCTCTTTTCTTCCTCCAGTGCTTCATTGCCTTTCTTTTCATAAATGTCTTCAAATGTTTTTCTTCCATTATTCTCATAAAAATTGCTTTTAGTACAAGTCTTTACCACCACTCCTCTGTACCGTATGAGTTGCACTGTATGTTCACTGCCAGCTTGGAGACATCATCTCCCTTTTCCTTTTCAGGCCGACTGAAAGAGAACGAACAGAACGGCTCATTAAAGCCAAACTCCGGAGCATCATGATGAGCAAAGACCTGGAAAATGTGACTTCTAAGGAGGTAAATATAAAAATTCCTGCTCACCTCCTTTTCCAGAGCGCTGCACTGATGAAGAGACCCTATATGACTAGGTGTCATTGGCTTTTGAGCGTGTGTTTCCACCTGTTCCGTAAAGGCTCTGCTCTTTGGCTTTGCTATACCTCCTGTTTCCCAGGCAGGGAAATCGGGATAATATCAGCATCAGAGAGCATTTTTCAAGATCTTAGTAACAAGTATGTGACTTTCAAGTGCATAATGCCTGGTTCTTTGCCAACAAGGTGGCCTCAGAGGTGACGCCTGCATTACAGTTGTTTGTAGCACACGTAAGCATGTCCAAGCAATGAATTTGCAGGCACTTACTCCTCGGTGCATCCCTGTGAATTACGCAGAGGCAGCACTCTCAAAAGATGCAGCTGGTGGCTTGAGGCCTCACAGCTGTGTTAGGTGAACGTCCTGGTCTTTGCTTGCTTATGGACAGTGCAAAGCAAAGTGTGTGTGCCTGCCTTTCTCCCATCAGCTTAATTTTAAGGTTTTATTTTCTTTGTTCCTGAACAAATGTCAGAGGGACTTGCAGACAATGTTTTGCTAGTGAGTTTATGGATGGAAAATCACAAGTCAAGGCTAAAGCTAGTTTGGATCCATCCCATAGGCTGGTATAAATGCATCCAGCCACAGCGCAGGCATATTCAGAGCAAAAAATGGAATTAGTGTTTTTTGGGGTTGGGTTTTTGTTTGTTTTCCAAGGGAGGCTATTAACATGCAGGGCTTTCCTTCCTAAAGCTTGGCACAGAAGGCTTCGGATACACTCTGGTGTAACAGCAGCGTTACAAGTTGTAGGCGTAAGCTGAGAACTCGTTTGTCTGTGTACGTGTTCTTAACTCTTGGTGCAGTCAAGATACTTTGATGTTGCTGCAATCATTTCCCATGGTGGGTTAAAAAAAGTTGTGCTGCTTTGCATTGCACCTTCCTGAAGCTGAGGTGCGGCGAGAGGACTGTATGTCTATGCCCTGGCGTCTTAAAACGGGAGAGTATTGGAAATCTCTCTCTTCACTAACGCTGCTGCCATAATTCACTCCTTGCTTCTAATGGGTTTCCCATTTTTTTGTTAGCTGCTCTCCAAGGTCTTGTTTTTTATCTCTGGAATTATTTTTTAAGAAGCAGGTATCCCCAAATACACTTTTTTGTACTCGGATGTTATCTGAAGCGTTACTTACAGATCTTCAGTTTGGGGGCCTAGGATACTTGGACAGATGCCACGTAGTGAGATTCCTTGTCTCCAAAAGGTCAAATCCCTCTTGCTGTTTTTAATGAAGTTCAGAAAAAGTGTTTTGCAAAGGAGTGCCAACAAATGTTTCTATTGAACAGACATGATTCTAGGTGGCATCCTTTGTTTTCTGCTCTGCAGATACGAAATGAGCTGGAGAAACACATGAATTGCAACTTGAAGGAATTCAAGGAATTTATAGACAATGAAATGCTGCTTATCCTGGGTCAGATGGACAAACCGTCTCTGATTTTTGATCATTTATATCTGGTAAGCTGCTGTGTTAGGAGCTCCAGAATAGCAGGAGGGTCTGTGGGAGTGATGTGACAAGTCTCTGGGCTTAAAGGAAGCTAGATTTGGTGTCAGGGCTGACTTGTGCAGCATAAGCAAGAGATACAGCCCGCTATCCCACCCTTTGTGCAGCCTTTAATCCAGGACCCATATTGCTTGTAAAAGCCTGCAGTAGAGACGCCCTTTTCTTCTAGCTATGTTCTTGTTTCTGGGACTTGATACAACGGTTGTTTCCTAGCAGGTTGATCCATGGCATAGCTCAAGTTCTCTCTGCACGTTCATTTGCTGTTTCTAGCAATGGAGATTTTCTTTTATGACAAACAAAAGGTCTAGCAGTGGGTGCTGCCCTGCTGTGACAGCCGTTTGCTTTTTGACTCTGATGAGGGTCACTGTATCATTTTTCTCGATTGAGCTTATGAAGTTCCGTAGGCATGGCCAGAACTATGTAACGAATAAGGCTGAAGGTGATGTGCTATATTCCAGCTTGGGCAGGAGCACAGAACAGCGTGTGTTTTGTCTAATCTTTTGCCACTAGATGGTACTCCAAGCAAAACCAGGCCCTGCCATCTGGAACAAAGACTTGCTTGAGATGAACACATTTGTGCCCGTTATGCTTGGGTCTTTTTTGGGGGGAGGTGGGGTGGGGTGGGGCTGGTTTGGTTTTGTTGTGGTCTGGAGCGAGGCAGAGGATGTGCTCATGTGTAAGGACAAAACCTGCTCGTGAAACCCTTCTTAGCTTTCTGTTTTGCAGGTTTGGGGGGAATCCAAGGTGTAACCACTCCCATAGCTTTCAGAATTTGCCTCACTTCTCATATACCTGTGATCCTGGTCATGCCACACAGTTGTTTTCTTTCACTGCGCTATTTATTTCTGTGTTTAAAAATCCAAAGTGGCTGGGGGTAGTGATTTGGGTTGTGCTCAGTCACACGCTGGCCTAGGACTAACTCCATAGGTGAGGATGTAATGTCCTTGTCCTGTCCTTCAGGAGGTCCCTGCCTGTTCAGGACAGGACATCTCTGTGCTGAGCTGCAGCACTGGCTACCCTGGTGCCATATTCCTGTTCCAGAGGCTGTCACCAGTATTTCAGTTGGCAGCTAAGGAAGATTGCTGAGGCTGGGGGATTGCAGAACCTTAGGAAAAAGGGTGCTCTTGGGTTCCTTTGAAATGTGTATTTTGTGGCCGTTGCAGGGTTCGGAGTGGAACGCTTCCAACCTCGAGGAGCTGCAGGGCTCAGGGTGAGTACTGCACCTTTCAAGCACCAGCCTTATACCCTGAAACCTCCAGTCGTTTGCCTTTAACTTACATTCAGGTCTCTTGAGATGTCGTATGATGTTTGTAGACTGTAGGGATGAGTTTGGGCCCATTCTCAGCAATGTGGATAACTTACTGTCAGGAGAAATCTTTCCTACCTCATTTCTATCAAAAACGTGTAGAGTGAAAATAACAAAACTTCTCGTTTGTGAAGTACATCAAGATCTCTGAACCCCCCACAATGTGTAGCAGGCGAGAGCGAAGTAGCCATACATATTGTTGTGTCAGGTGCAAATTCCTGCAGGCTGCAGAAAGAGCAAATATTACAGTGCTAAGCTTAGGAAAAAAACTCTATCTAAATGGAGCAGAACTTCCTGTGGATGAGCAGTCTCCACCTCACCTGCCCGGACAGGCAGCTGCATGGCTGTCTTTCACCACGCTCTCATCACCACACCACTTCTTGGCTTGATTTACTTTCACACTTTTTGGATGAGTGCAAAATTTTGCATGTAAATATTTGCTGCTTGCCCAAGGCATACACCAACCTTGATGTGAGAAACTGAAAAATATTGCTCAACAGCATGACTAGAAATGTTTCATTTGGAGTCCTTGGGAACAGATTTCTGAACATCTTTGAACAAGTAAATCAACTAGCATGTTAGTACTTTTGACCTACGGGGAAGGCATCTTGACATGCAGTGTCTGAAAGTCAAAGCTGGACAAATTCTGAACCAAATATCCTGTGTCGTTGATTTGTCTGAATGATAGGAGGTAATAAATCAATACGGGCATTCGTTCTCCCTGGGCACATTGTAATCCCTGCTGTAATATTTGGCAGGAATAGGGAGATACCATGTGACACTCATATTTTTGGTCAGAAAGAAGAGAAAAGGATGGCTTTGCAGCTAAAGCCTGCAGCTGCAAATTGTGATTCTTGAGGTCTGTTCCCAGCTCTTGCCCAAACGAATCGCTCGCAGCCAATGCACTTTTCTTCTTTCAGCGTCCCAGAAGCTGTGTGTGGCACACAGTGAGGAGTTTCTGAGTAGGTTACAAAGCCTCAGCAGATGGGATAAAATAAACTTCTCCCTCCTGTGCCCGAGGTTTTTGGATGCTTTGAATGGGATATGCCAGTGGTGAGAGATGGGTGAATGGACAGGCCCTGCACGTCATGTGCATGACCTGTGTCACCATGTGTCCCAGGGGTTCGGGATTAGGGCTGTAGATAAAATCTTACAGTTTGTGTTGTGTCAGATTTCGTGAACTTCAGGAGGTGTGTCAGTTCCCTTTCATGCCCGTGGCAGTTCAACTTTATTTTTCTTTTTATTCTCCCCAGCATTGACTACATTTTGAATGTGACCAGGGAAATTGATAATTTTTTCCCCGGTTTGTTCGCATATCACAATATCCGAGTGTATGATGAGGAGACAACAGACCTCCTGGCTCACTGGAACGAGGCGTACCACTTCATAAATAAGGCCAAGTAAGTGGGCTGGGAGACGCGACTTAGCGTGAGAGCACATCCACACCACGGCGTCTGACACCGTGCCCTGCGTGTTTAATCCAGTGTGGAGCTGGGCCCTCCCTGAAGCCACACCACCACCGAAGGAGGCAACAGGGCTTTTGCATTACTGCTTTTGCCAGGAGTTTTCTGTGTCCCTGGAACTTCCCCATACCTTTTCTCTTCCTGTACTGGCATTAACCTGTTCCTATTACTATTTTTTTATTATTATCATTATTTTGTTTTGCTTCCAAAAGGAAATGAGGACATTTCCTCTTCTCAAGAAGTTCTGGAAATACACCAATACACCAACACGTGTCTGTGCTGGACTAGCCCCAGCTGTCTCTGCAGACAAGAGATGGTGACAGGGCCTGTCAAACTCCGCTGGGCTTTTATACTCGGGTTGCTCCTGCTTATCCCTATATCCAAACACTCGAGCAGGCAGGAGGCTTCATGGTGGTCTCTGAAATGGCAGCATGACTGGGGCTGCTCTTCTCATAACTCCCAGCTTTTCTGGAGAGGGATTCTTCTCGTGGTCCTCTTAATCCAAAGCATCTTCTCACCTACTGAGCCATGGTGCTAGGGTGGTCAGGAGGACAAAGTACTGTCCCTCCACTGTGTAAAATGGTAACAACAGATACCATAACCAGAAAGACGGATTTTCCTGTTTGTCCTTCTGCAGGAAGAATCATTCCAAGTGCCTGGTGCACTGCAAAATGGGTGTGAGCCGGTCAGCATCTACTGTCATAGCTTATGCAATGAAGGAATTTGGCTGGTCACTGGAAAAGGCCTATAATTACGTGAAGCAAAAACGCAGCATTGCAAGACCAAATGCAGGCTTCATGAGACAGCTTTTGGAATATGAAGGCATTTTAGATGCGAGGTAAGGCGACAGGATGAATGGAAAGGTGACTTGCAGGAAGTAAAGAAGCTAATTGTAGGCAACCTCTCGTGTATCACAGATATTAATATCACAAAATATCAATGAATCTCCATGGAGTTCTGTTCAGGCAATACGTTTTTCTGTCGATGATCTCGATGTGCATGCGTGTGAGACAAAGACACTGGCAGAGCTGTGGTGCTGTAGTCTGAAGGGTCCTCTTCAGAAGGGCAGATGCAGAAGCCTGGGCTAACTGTGTTTTTTCTGAACCTTCTCTGTGCCAGGCCTCCCTGGATGGAAATTAGCTGTCTTCTAGGGAGATCTGCTGTGGTTTAATTCAGTGAGGGTTTCTCTGCGTTTGGGAGGCATGTTCGTATTTCTCAGCAGCCAGTACTGTTCGGCAAAACATTGTTCTTGTTTTATGAGGCAGAACTGAGCTCAGGCAGCGTTGGAGGCAAATCGTTTGCAGTTCTGGGTGACCATGCCAATCACAAGTCTTTGTCATTGCAAGCACTGTAGTATCTAATAAGGGTTTCTGCATGCTCCGCTTGGCCTCTGCCCTACTCGGGGAAGAGGAAGGAAAATTTTTCACTCTGGTTCAGC